ACTCGTTCAATTCAACTGAATGTACAGGCACAGGTTTATTAACCAATGAGCTACTGGAAAATTCCCTTCCCTAAGGTTAATGTGCTGCATAGCCAATAAAACATGCATGAGCACACAGAGGAAAAAAACCATGCTTCACAGCAAGCAGATGCCCACTTGTGAGCATGCCCTGCCAGACAATGGATGAGGAGCACAAAAGGTAGTACAGAAAAACTGCACACAGCATGGCACCCTTCCAGTAATTCCCTGGCAACCTGACTGGTCCCACATGTCAGAATCAGGCCTCACACTCAAAGTTGCCAAGGAGGTCCCTGAAAGGTTGGCAGTGCATCCCTCCCTCTGGACTTCAGCATGAAAACTTGAGTGCTTCCAAATCCTGGTAACAGGCCAAAAAAGGAAGGGGATTGGCTTTTATATTAGTGACTATGGAAACTTCTTGTAATGTGAATTGTCTTATGTGCGTAGAGACAAGGACCACGGAACTTGGTCTTGACCAGGCTTTCTAGATACTACCATGGGGCAAAATCCATACAACAATAACTGCTGGGATTGCATTTGTGCTATTACTGCATAGCAGATGTTCTCTTAAAATCACAGCAGTCCTTTGGTTGGCTTGGTTTTGTCCAAAGAGACTGATGAGGTTTTAAGCTGGCCAGGGGTTTCCCCATGCATTCATGCAGCTTACTATGCACAATCTCTGCTACTTAGCAAAAGGGAATTGATTTCCCAGGTAGAACCAGTAGAGACTCCATAACCTTCCAGCATTTAAAAAGAAAAAGGGAGAACGGATGTTTGGCAACAGCCCCCACAGTCCCGAAAAACCACAGTCTCCTCTGCATGGATCACTCACTTTCCAAAGAATTTTTCGTTGTCTGGTCTTTAGATTCCTTTGTGCTTCTAGCCTTTAGATTCTAAAAGAAAAAGAAAACCCACGTAGCAGACAGTCAGTCACCTTGAAGTAACACACGGGAATGTAAGAGACTATCTGTTCCTCCAAGGGAGGGCCTAAGAGTGAATGGAGGACAGCCCTGTCACAGTTCAAATCAGTGATGGAAAAATGTGCTTGCCCACCATTTCCCTGTCACAGGTACCACACATGTCAAATATTAAGTAGTTTTCTTAAAAGTGCATGCCAATAGAGATGCACCAAAGCAAGGAACCACCCATAGCAACACAGATAGTGAAGCTTTTAAATCACCTGCAGAAGAAAGATGCATCCATAAGGTGCCACAGCATATATAAAGAACCAATAAATAAAGTACAGGATTGGTATTCAATACGCTCAGGTTATACTTCCTTATGCCTGTAATCAGAGCTGAGTGACCTTGGACAAGTCAGCTCTCTTTCATGGCAGGAAAGGAACAATGCCTGTGACTCTTCTTTTTGCACATGGACCATAAAGCTACACACATTAGTGTGCTGAGCTCTGGAATCCCCACCAGGACACAAATGCAGTACTCCCAGTACAGCAGGTACTAGCATGATTTCAGAATTATCTTTCAGAAAACAGCAACACTGAGAGATCACATTTACACAAAGAGCAGGGCCCTGAGGCCTTAATCTCTACCCTGTCTTCTAGGAACTATCATAATACTATCTATACATATCACTATTAATAAATGGGAAAGCCCAAGGAATGCATTTTAGCACTGAAAGAAAACTGAACACAGAAAGCCAGTTTACTAATGAGCTGACACCACTAGAGCACAGGAGTGGTCAGGCAAAGGAGGAGAACCTGATGGAAATCCTCAGGAAAGGAGAGAACAGAAGACACTCTGATGAGTAGTACAGCAGGACCCAAAAGGCCCGCCTGGCTTCCCTCATTTCACAGAGGGAACATGCTTTATTTTACCTCTATCATACAAATTCTAAAGGGAAATGCAATATTGCATGTACTCAGGAGTTTTTTCAGAGCAATAAACACCCCCAGTATTACTCAGTTCCAATTATTTATCTGCTTGTTTTTAAGGACGGATATATGAAGCTCATATTTTCTTGGCAACTTAACTGTTCAAGGTAAGTTACCATAAGACAAAAGGTCCTTAAGACCATGAACTGTAGATAAAGCTGGTAGCCTGGGAAGTCTGAAAAGGTATTCCATATACTGCTCTTAAGAGAGGAAATCTGAGCAGTCCAATGAAAAATATTACACTTTATGCTTGATTCACTTTAAACAGGGCTACCCTCTAGTGGAGCCTGCAATTTCAGTGGCAGGCAGCA